CCCCCCCCCCCCCCCCCCCCAATCCCCAAAAGTTTCTCAGCGGACTTGGGCTGTACTTAGGAAGCGCAGTACAGCCCCATAGTCAGATTAAAAAAAAAAAAATCAGTGTATGGCTGTTTACTGACCGTTGGCAAACCGCCGAGCAGTCGGTTGCAAAATGGTCGGCGGTCGGGGTAGGCAACTGGCGGGTCTGCAACCCTGACGTACACCATTCCGAACTTCAGACTAGGGCAACATGGCTTACCTTGAACTTCTAACAATTGAGGAAACAAATCATCCTATATTGATGTATTAGATCTTTGTGTAATGAACTCAGCCGTATTGAGAAGCCAATCAGTGTCCTGATACAAGTCCGAACCCAGCGGACAAAATAATGTCCCCAAAATCAATATCTGTCCATGCCCAGCATACGTGCACTTTCCCAGAGGTAGTGGGGAAAAGAGACACAGAGGAGGAGAAGAAGAAGAGTCCCCGTCAATCACGCATGAAGTGTCTTCCTGACCACTTCCTCCCCGGGCATTACCCCCCCCGTTGCCACCTCAGCACTGCAGTCTCTCTCTAACATTCTCTGACGGATACAGTGTGCAGGTCACAGTCGGGCGCCCATCCTCCATCCATATCAGCAACCAAACAGGGAGGATGGCGCAGGTCTTCCTCACGTTCGTGGAGACGAGCAGCAGATCACACATGACGTCGCCAGATAAGTCCAGGTAAGCTTCCCCTCAAACCCTCTCCAGTCTCACAGTCTCGATCCTCCTCCTCCTCACCCAACCTCAACACCAATGTCTATAGCTATGGCGACAATGGCCGCTCTAACATAATCTCCCCTGATGCTGGCGCCCACCCAGCAGCACTGGCACGAGCATAAACTCCAGCACCCTCGCGATATCATACTAGCATCAAGCCAGCGCAAGACAGAATGATCTCCACAGTGCCAGGGTCAACTCTATATAGTGCTGACTCACGTTGACCAGCCTCCAGTCTCCTTGGGTCCATGGCCCAGATGAGCTGAAAACCAATGGCATGGATGCAGCGCAGTCCCAGCTTTCCCTCGTGTCCCACTTGGACTGGAATCTTCTGGATACTTGCACACAACCACTGATGTGCATCTGATCGACGGCCGTGGCTGGCAAGCTGGTTGACTTTGATTTCAGGCTTAGAATCCCGTGCTTGGGTTGACTCTTCATTTTCCAAGAGTCAACTGTCTCACGTTGGGGTACTGGACACAGCTTTTGACTCTTGGTACCCCTTTACCCTAGGCACTTTCTCAGCCATTTCTCAGGCTAGAGACGTGACTTTTGACCCCTATTTCTGGACTTTTGAGCGACGACCCTTGTGCCGATCTGAACTGGTTTTATTACACTTGTAGAATCTCCATTTTAAATACTCTTTTTTCACTTCATCTGGAGCTACCATAACTTGGGCTAATCAGGCTATTAGCTGGTTCAAAACAAGTTGTTAATGGTACGTTAGCCACCATTCTCCTCTTTCTCTCGAACTTGCTACTCCATACAACCTAACTTATATGGAAAGACTGCCAGCTGTACGAGTGTGGTTTTGAGGATGGCCGTAAGGTTACCTAAAGGAATGATAGGTTTGGTAAAGTAATTGATATGAAAGGATTCACACGCCTCAGAAGTACAGTCACGGTACAGCATCCCATTTTCTTTCATATCATAGGGCCGAAGTAGAACGTTCTGGTAGGTACTGTACAAGCCAAAAAAAAGAGATCCGATCGGATAAGGCATGTAGGACAGTAGAAGTCCTTAGAAGTCAGTAGGCAGAGATCCACCACGTGTCAAGTCCCGGTCACGTCGCATCTCAGTACCAGGAAGGGCCTAGAGACAGCTCAAATCTTTGTCAGCCGCTGCAAGGCCTGACAGGAACGTTGACACAAGCCAGGGAGGTAATCCCCTTCCTTGGTTCTGGCTCGTGTGTAACCGCTGCTGCATTGCCTGCCAAGATCCTGGACGCGTGAACATTGCCAGGCCAGGGAGATAGTCGACAGAGCAGGGCGCCATAGTGGCAGGGAAGCGCAGTAGCGAGACACATAGAAACAGGAATCCCTAGAAGTCAGTATGCAGAAATCCGCCACATGTCAAGTACCTGTCAAGTCTCATCTCAGCCCCGGGAAGGGCCTAGAGACAGTTTCAATCTTTGTCGGCCGTTCTGAGGCCCAACAGGAGCGACAACACGAGCCTGGGAGGTACCTGCACGCACAAAAGGGAGGCCGCAGTCAAGAACCTCCTGTTCTTCGATTCTGGCTTATCCGGAATTGCTGCTGCATTATTGTGCGCCAAGAACGTGGACGCATGAACAGTGCCTATCGAGGGAGATGGTCGACATACCAGGGCGCCATAGTGGCGGGGAAGCGCAGTAGTGAGACACAAAGTGAGCGAGGAAATTCAGCGAGAGATGCGAGATCTGAGTGCAGCAGTAGGTATAGTAGTAGTCACAGAGAGAGAGAGAGAGAGAGAGAGAGAGAGAGAGAGAGAGAGAGAGAGAGAGAGAGAGAGAGAGAGAGAGAGAGAGAGAGAGAGAGAGNAGAGAGAGAGAGAGAGAGAGAGAGAGAGAGAGAGAGAGAGAGAGAGAGTTGTTGAGGTAGTTTTTGGCAGTCATGGCCTTAAAGCTTAAAACCTGTGAGCGAGGAAATTCAGCGAGATATCGCGAGATCTGCGTGCAGCAGTAGGTATAGTAGTAGTCACACAGAGAGAGGGAGGGAGACACAGAGAGAGAGAGAGAGAGGGAGGGAGACACACAGAGAGAGAGAGAGAGAGAGGGAAGGAGACACAGAGAGAGAGAGAGAGAGAGAGAGAGAGAGAGAGAGAGAGAGAGAGAGAGAGAGAGAGAGAGAGAGAGAGAGAGTTGTTGATGTAGTTTTTGGCAGTCATGGCCTTAAAGCTTAAAACCTGTGGATCTCACGTACTATGCATGCATAAAGGTTGAAGCAGTAAAGGCGAGGAAGCAGGACCTTTTCCAATAAAGCTAGAACCTTTTCGGTGGTATTGGAATGTTGTCTTGTTGTCTTCAGCCAGATTGAGAAGATGTGTGCGCCTAAGAAAGTGTGTGTCGTCCATGAATTTGATTTCCATATCGACAAGGTGTGTGTCGTTCCCGAATTTGATTTCGAGATCGGGAAGGTGTGTGCCGTCCCCGGATTTGATTTCCAGCGAAGAGAATCAAAGGTTTCCAACTTTCCAGGTGCAAGGATAAGAAAACAATATGAACACAGCAGGTGACATACCATAATGAATAGTCTCCCAAATAACTTAACATTCATCCTCACCCTTCCAATCACCACCCCTCCATGTTCTAGTGAAGGGTAATGCAACCTCCATCCTCACCCTTCCAGAAACCGTTCCTAAATATACTAGTACAGGGTGAGGCATGAGGCTGAGTATGTGCAACTTCAACACAACTCACCTTAATTCGAAGGTTTTTTGCATCCCCAGAATCAGGCGTATTATCTGTTGAGACTCCTTCATTATGGCTCAAACTCTGTGGCATCGCACCTACAATTCAATTCATACATGCCAATTATCATTTGCAACATAGCACAGAATATGATATTCAAAAGAACAGTACAAACGAGCGACAGCAGCACTCCATCCATCAATTATTGGTCCCTACTTCTCTTCCTCCGCACCCCCTCCTCTGATCCTCTTTCCACCTCTGTGCATGTGTGGTGTATGGGGGTAAGTAGCCTCCCAGCCTGAGCTGGCCCACAGGTTTGCGCTCTTTCAGTTGTTTCACTAAAAACTTGAACCCAGGTCTGGATTGTGACAGGCCAGTGTGTTAGGGCCAGTAGTATAGTTCTAGTTTTCGTTCTTGGTCATTTCACATTAGTATGCACCTGCCTCATACAAGGGAAGAGTAAAAGTAAGAGTGGGGACTGTGAATTGTATGTGACCAATAAATTGTATAGTCCCCGTCCTCAATCACCTGGGTTTTTCTTACTGAACGTTGCTTCACTGCCACTAACAAGGTCAACCCCCATTGTAAGTCTGAACCCATAGCCCACCCCTATCCACGAAAACACGAGGTAGGGGTGGCTCCAAGGTGCCTCCCTGAGGAAAGGAACCCGTAACCGGGCCTGCTGATGAAGCAGGTTCAGCCTTTCTCGAAGTTGGGCTGTGACAAAAACTGGTGCAGGTGCTGGGTAAGGATTAAACTGACCTTTACTAATTGTCGTGATGAGGGTGCCCTTATGGATGACTGTGTACAAAACTGAGGGTGGTTGGGCAGATAGTAGGACCAGGCCTGGAGCAATAACATGCATGAATACACGATTGTTTGATTGATCAGCTCAAGGTCTGCGTCCCTGAGTAGGTTTAGCCGTGGCCTTAGTTCACCCTCTTGTCAAAGGCTCACAAATAGCCTCCAAGGGAGCATGGCAAGTTGGCGGGTTAACACCCCCATGCTTGGGTGTACAGGAGGCTTGCAAGGTGCTAAGCGCATTTGGCCGCTTGACCCTTACTGATTCTTGCGCTGCGGGCACCCTTATGCATGGCCGTGTACAAAACTAAAGATAATACTTGGTAAATGATGAATGTGAGCAAAGAAGATCTTGAGGGTGGTTAGCCACATGGTATGACCAGGCCTGCAATAACTACATGCATCAATGCACGCTTGCGTGATTGACCAGCTCACGGTCTGCATCCCTATGGTGTGCATCTAGGTCCCCCTCTTGTCGAAGACTCAGAACTTGCCCACAAGGGGGTATGAGCAAGCTGGCAGGGGCTAACATCACATGTCCTTGGGTGTACGGGAGGCTTGTGAGTTGCGAAACGCATTTGGCTCCCTGACTTTCGATAGTTGCAGGGAAGATAGCCAGATGAAAATCCTATGGACGGAGAGGCCCGGCCTTCCAGGTGCTGTATTATTCTCCACTCCTGCGGGGAAGATAGCCAGATGAAAATCCTATGGACGGGGAGACCCGGCTGCATGTCTGCACAAGAAATTGCATGAAAGAACCCCATTTGAAGAGGGAAGGATAATTAAAAAGGAACAATTTTGCCCTATGAAAGCAAAGACAAAGGGAGATAAGGAAGGGCATGAGTTGCTAGACTCCAAGGAACATTAGCTGCCCCCTAAAGAGTCACAAAAGGGCTCAGCACATAAATGATTGAGAAGGGCTGCCACACGCAAATCTGGAGTGAAAAGCCCCAGCAGCTTACGTAACTTGTGGCCTGCTTGGGTCATACACTTCCGTGCAGTGAGCTTCCCTCAAGTAGAGCGGGGGGAAGTGGGGGTTCTGGGCTAAGTTTCGTGGTGAGAATCTCGGCTCGCTCAAGGGGAGGTGAAGGGTTCCACTTGTGACCTGAAGTACCGTGTTGCTCGTGAGAACCTGCTCAAGCCCATGGGATGATTCCCTGAGGTGACAATGGGGAGGAGAATCTAGAATACCACTAATTGAATGCCTCAGTGAGAAGGAAACCGTTCAACGAGGCATGATTATATTGATTGAGGACATGCTTAGATTTTCCTTAACACTCTTTAAGCAAATAGCGGGTCTGGTGTAACGCTCCCGCGAGATCCCGCTTTCCGCTGTTGGGAAACGCGGTGGGAAAGGTAGGCGGGCCCGACAGACACGGCATGAGGCCTTCGGGGCGGGCCGGACCGGCGAGGCCCGGGTTGGACGGCCCGATAGAGCTTTCGGGGATCCGCACCAGATGATTCCCGAAACTTCTATCGGGCCGTCCAGCCCGGAGCCGCTCGACAATCTTAACGGTTGTCACCGGTCCGGCAATCGTGTGCTGCTTCGTGCGGTGATGTTTCTATGTGCCGGTTTTGAGCGCTTTGTGGTCGCTGTGGTGGTTGCTGCGCTCGGTTCGACGGGAGAGAGAGAGAGAGAGAGAGAGCTGTCTCTTATACACATCTAGATGTGTATAAGAGACAGGGGGAAACAAATCATCCTATATTGATGTATTAGATCT